ACTTGTAAAAAGCCTAAGAGTGGCTTCGTGGAGGAAAGCAATGGAAAAACTATATAAAGATTTCAGTGCACTGCTAGGTACAGCAGCGTAATAGGTTTATCAAAATATAAAACACCACCCCCCCCCCAAAAAAAATATACAGATCAGACATACCCATAGAAGTACTGAATGTTTAAAGTGAGGGAAAGAGAGGTTCAAAGAGGATGTATTTTTCTGGCAGCCCTCCATATGTGCATATAAACCTCTCGTAACCAGCACACTGATATTTAAACTAATTAGCACCAGGAAAGCCACAGGACGATGCTTTTCTATCAGCCTATTCACACTGACAGAAGAACTAAAAAATGACTATGATTACATACAGCTCACGTATCAGAATGCAGCAGTCCACGATCCCTGCCACACCCCCTTCCTTCCCTAAGTAGCAAGGCAAGAGAAACATGGTGCAGTACACATTTCAAATCGGAAAAAAAAAATAACCCCACTTAAACAAAATGCTCACTCAGCATTATGCTAGAAGATAAAAATAGAAAGCAGGAGAGCTGGTACTGAATATCAAGCAGCATTCCCTATTCATTGCACCACAGTGTGAGCAAGAGAGAACCCCAATCAACTTTCCCTTCACTCTCTGCTCTTGGAGGCTGCATGTCGTTTGAATTTCCTATTCCTCATAAACACGCCAGAGGGGAATTAGCTTTGGGGAGCTGTGGACTCATACATCCACCATCATTGCAATGGCACCCCCCCACCAGCCTCTGAAAATAGCTCATGACTTCGAGAGGAGAAAGGACAGGCTGGCTTGGTGGCTTTGCTGTGAATACTGAACACCTCTGCGCAGCAGGTTTGCCTATTACTGGTATAGGGGATGTCAAAGAACCCGGCTCTCATGAAAAGTTTCCATTCTAACTAATTAGACAGTGGCTTCCTTCAGCATATAAATTTGGGCTTTAGTCCCTTGTACAGGAGTACACAGGACAGGAAGAGGGAAAAGGAGCAGAAAACAGCAATGTCTGCAGTCAACTTTGCTAAGTTAAAGGCTACCAATTAAATCTCTAGTGACAGGTGAGACAGAGCGAACCAACAAACACATGCCTCCACACACGGAAAGGACAGTTCGATTTTAGGATGGGCTGAATCTCCTTCTGCAGTATGTTCTCACAGCATCTGTCTATAGAAAGAGCTGAAATGTCTTACAGCTAACTACAAGCAACAAGTCCCTTCACAAATCGCAGCAGAGTCCATCGATTTGGGTGAGAACAAAGCCAGTACAGGATGGGACTGTCATCCAGACCATAAAATATCTCCCAGAATTACTGTGGGGCTGGAGAAAGTATCTCATTTCTCCCCTTGTCCATTGTCCCCAGGGATCAGCCATGTCACAGCTGGCAGGACATGCCCAAGGGTAAATCACAGAGGCATGACAGACGCCGAGGGCCCCATCAGAGCTAGGGCAGTCTTTCAGGTTACTCCTTGGCATTTCAGCTGTCTGCTGCAGCACAGCCTGCAGCTTGGGGCACCGTGAGGTCCCATGCAAGTTGGTCTTGATCGTGTCAAACTGCTCCCATAAAAGCAAAGGCTCTAAGTGACCCAAGTACTAAAACAAAATGCTTTGCACATAAACTGTTTCTATTCAGAGTTTTTACCGAAAGCTTTTAAAAGTCAACTCAGTTTGACCCTACTTACTTTTTTCCTGCTTCTTGAAATTAGGAGAGAAATAAAAAAAATATTGCATGGCTCTACATGTACCACTCTCTAGTGCTTCAGTTTTCTTATTCACATCTATGAAGTGGGAACAATAAACATTACCTACTCTATGAAAAATTTCCAAAGCTTGTGCCCAGACTTACAGACACTCACTTGCTAGGACAGCTTAGGTATGACTGACAGGAGAACCATGAGCAGTAAGAAAAAACACGTGTTTGTGCACACACACGTGCACTCCTGGTATGAAGATGAGATGGAATACAGGATGAAACACTTGACCTTCTCTCCTTTCCTGCTACCACCACTTACAGCTACAACTGCATTTTGCCATGTCTGCTGTCTGGACAAATGGATTAAGATGCAGCCAGCTGCAAAATGATGAACACTGTTACCAAATGTGACAAACAACAGTGACAAACAGTGGTCTTGACAATGGGGATTCTTCCTTGGGCTTAGTATCAGCTCCTCAGCCCAGACTTCTGGGTTAGCAGATAGTTAAGAGATGCCATTTCTAAGTCACGCATACAACTCTACCACCCCCACCACCCCCAAAAAAAAAAGAAAAAAAAGGAAGGGAATGGGAGAGTAACGTTTTTCAGAAAATGTGCATATTATGCAGAGCAAAGAATAAGCACCCTCCAAGGCAGCTGCTCATCAACAGGTCCATATTTTTGCATGACATGTAGCAGTACCAATGCTCTTTCTGCACAACCACCCACATCTCTCCAAGAGATGGTAGCAATAGTACCAATGCTGCTAAGACAAGCCCAATGCTTTGTCAGTCTCCTCTTGCCCTCTGTCCACCTCACACATTCCCATTCAAGATGGAAATCAGGCATAGTTTCTGCAGAAGCCTGACCTCTGGTTTGGAAGTATAAATCACTCCTTTCTGTGCTAGCTCTGCCACCTGACTGGTTGTCAGCTGTCAATGAATGCACCTGACAAGAAATACCCGAGCCCTCAAATCTTGCCTCAAATTTATAAATCTTGCCAAAGAAGAAATTTCTTTCTGGCAAAGAGGTGATTTACAGACCTGTAGATCTTCACTCAGCTTACAGCAGAGGCAACGGATGAATTTTCCAGCACTGGTATTGTGAGCCACATTTATATATCCTACTTCTGCAGTGGTTAACACAGTACCTCTGATTTATAAACCCCAGCACAGGTTTCACACCTGCCTGTTCACCGTAACTCAGGCTGAGCAACAAGCTACCTAATGGCAGCACTGAACAAGTCTCTGAGGGCATCTTGATCAGCACCCAAAACCAATTCTCTGTCCCAGTGATGCACGGGTCTTTGGCATGCCCGTGTCCGAGCCGAACATCACACACAGGTCTCTATGCTCATGAAAAGCTCATTTCCCTTTCCAGTTCCACATCCTTCCTATATATCACCATTGGAGAAGCAAAGTTTCTTAACTAAACTTTCTCAACCTTCAGCAGTATTTTTGGTTTGCTGAAGTTTCAATTCTCTGCTGCTGTGGTAAGCGGTGCTCTGATGTCAGGCTCTATTTGCAATCAGAAGCAGGTCTGCTTTTATTGAGACAACTCAGGACACAGACCATCTTGTTCCTCATGCATTCAGTAGCAATACTGTGTCAAAACAGAGTAGGATCTTGGTTTCCAAGCATGACCCGAAGGACAGCTATGAAGGCTGCAAAACATATGGGTCCTCTTAAGAGATTAAGAAACTGTTTGATTAATTAAGGTAGACCAAACATATCAATGCACTGGTCAGCACCAGATTCTGAATATATGAGTAACACACCAGATGATACTCTGAGGTAGGGCTTGAATACTGTACAACAGGATATTTCATTGCTGTAACAACTACTCTGCAGTTGCCTGACTTTATTCTGGCCCCAAGGACAATCAGCTCTATTGGATTTGGAACATTTTATCTTGCAGGAGCTAGATGTTCAGCATGCCTATAACCAAAACAGCCTTCCTGTGTTGAAAGAAGCAGTTTATGTCTGGGAAGCAAGGTAGGATCTAAAGGGTAGAGAGAGAAAAGGAAGGGTTGAACTCCTTGCCTAACTATCCTCTGGCCTGTAATTCAGCCCACAAAAAATCAGGAGAGAAAACAGAAGTGATGCAAGATGGCATTCCAGAAAGTCACAAGTGACAGAAACACCAGTGGTCCATCCTTGGGTGTGTTCCCTGGAAGCCAACACCCAAAGCAGGCTGGAGAAGTCACTCTCTCTCACTGCCAACTTACTGCTTCTATGATGGAAAAACAGACGCAGAGTCCAGGTTCTCTCTGGAAATCACATTTCAGGAAGACAGTTCATCAGATCAAAGGGAAAATGAATACAGTAAAGGACTGGTAAGGAAGGACAGTTACGAGGAGGGAAAGAGCCACAGAGACACAATTGCAGAAGGTCAGTTCCACCTCTTGATTCCAGCAGGGAAGTTCCTGGCTCCCAGATCATCCTTTGTCTACTCTAGAGGAACAAGGGCTAAACCTCTTCTGCCCTATTCACTAGAAAACTCTCCTTGCATCACGTTAGTTGCCAGCTAGCAAATTTATCGGGTTTTGGACAATCCAGAGTCTTATATGATGAGTACCAGTGAAACCAGACTTGCAAATAATACAAATCCTAAACAAGACCATGGAATAACCAAGGTCTCCAACTTCAAACACACGGCACAGCATAGATGAAAAACAACCCCCCACCCAAGCAAGGAAACATATCAGAAAAATGGTACAATTTTTGCCATCTTTTCTGAATTTTTCCCAGAGAAAGACAGGGACATCCCAGGCCCACAACAGCTTTTACTTCCCCCACTAGAAGCATCATTCACAAAAAAACCCGAAGTAGACTGTGCTTATATTTGCAAAACACTTTGGGAAAGAATCAGTAACATGAATTTGTCACTGACACAGTGCTGGTAGCAGTATCAAACCCAAAGGACATATGATTAAAAAGGGAAGGGGGAAAAAAAAAAAAATCATCAAAATCATAGAGCAAATCTATAGGTGATCTGAAACATCACAGTTCCCTCCACTTGCAAGGAACACTCAATCAAAGAAATGGGAGGCCCAGTGCCTCCGTCAGACCATAAAGCCTCCGATATACATTGAAGGGAAACTAATCCAGAGGGAAAGGATAATGCACCTATTCTGTTACTGCTACAAAATAACTCTAATAACAAAAAAATCCCCATCTGTAGCTGAAGGAACCACAGATTCAGAAAGCTGTTAGTAAAACATATTGTTAGTTTCCGAGGCTAAACATGCGGCAGGTAAATACTACCCCTGAAGCAGGCAGAGGCATATTTCAAACAACACCTTACCCTACTGATTTGCAGCTTCTCAGCTCCAGGCTTGAAGAGGTTCCATCGACGTCCACCGTTCCTGCAGTTCCCGCGCACCTTCAGAGTCTTTGAAGCCTGTTCGTTCTCAGCTGCCAGGATAAAATCCACAGGAAAAAAAAAGGAATGACAAAAGATAAATGCTGTGCTTTAGCTCAGGCTGGGGGCGGAGGCTGTTCTTTTAAATGAAAGAAACAAAATTGTTTGCAAGAGACTCATTCAACCTCTTCTTTAGAAAAAGAGAGCAGAGAGTATATTTAGGTGCTTTATTCAGTGCTCTTGGGATACAAGAAAAATAGTGCAGCTTGGATACTACAAAAATGCAGGCACAAACTAAGAGCCGAGAGCCAAATTCAGAGGTGGTGTAAGCAGGTAGGGTTAGACAGGCTGGGTGTGAAGCCAGAATGCTCTCCCAGGAGCACCAGGCAGCACAAGAGCCTCATCTGCATGCACCAGTATTAAAAGTGCAGTAGCTCCTTGGGTCATAACTGCTAACAGCACTTCTGCAGTTTTGACCTGCAGAAATCCCAGCTTTATAGTCGCTGTGGTCCATATGATGCAGTGCCTTGAAAAAGAAACAGCTCCTCGATTTGATGCAGCAAACAAAAATGGAAAAGTCCATAAAAGCTGTTTTTCAAGGAAACTGGGCTACTTCTCACCCCAAGCATTTCAGGCCAATCCCTCACAGATGCAATTCCGATCTTGCTTTCAGCAAGCTATACCATTTACACCAAATCTCAGCCTGGCCTTACAGATGGTACATACCCAAGCACAAAACAGCTTGTAAAGAAGAGGCAAATTGTGGAGGAGGGCTAGCAACTCACCTTTCAAAATCAAGCTCTCATTTTCTAATCAACCCAGATTTTCAGCTCCCCATCCTATCCCTCTCTTTTGGGGGTGAAGCTGCCGTTCTGTGTGAGATGGGAGTTTTTCACTCCCACATTTGGCAAGGTTAGATTTTAATCCCTTCCTCCATCAGACTCTTCACGTCCCCGAGCCTGGAGTGACAGCCACTGGGAGGAAGGAAGCAGAGCAGAGGACCGCTCATGCCCCACAGCAGCTGCCAGCACAGGCTCCTGTCAGCAGGTGCACGTGGTCTGGGCAGCACACATATATGCGCCTGTGTATGTATACACACACCCACGGGATTTCCATCCCCTGGAGGCTTGTCATCCCATTCATGGGGAAAGGCATCTACAGAAAACAGTCGAATTCTGAAATTCTTCCCTGAAACATGCACAATGCTAACTTTATTTTGCCTGATGCACCCCTAACCCAGGCAGAGGTTTCAGACTGTGTTAGTCCTGAGCAGTTTGAAACCAGATAACAAAAGAGAAAACGGTCCCAGGCTTTGGGGGAGTGGTGATCCACACCCCAAACTCCTGGGATTCAGGTGACCTTTACCTTACAGGGGCACAACACACACACACACTACATGCCCCCTACCCCCAAATCAAATAGGTGGGGACTCTGCTCTGCCCAGGACAGCAGCACAGAGTGCAGCAGAGCTGGGACCCTGCTGCAGCCCCAGCATGGCTCAGTGGGCAACAATCCTGATTTTCTTCCAGCGTTGCTGGGAGAGAGATTGCACTGAGACCTATTTCCTAAACGCGATGCTGACGCAGGCAGCCTGCTGTTATTTTTAGCAACACGCGTTTCACTTTCTAGACTCGCAGAAAATCAAGCTGCAGTGCGAGTACTGATTATAGCAAGAGGCTGCTACCAGGCTCCAGAGGCAATGTGCCGATATAGTAGCACTCAGGAGCAACGTGCAAACACTGTAATGCTCACATTGCGAGATGCATGTGCTACTCCCCGTGCGCTAGAAACATGTGCACCCTGACAGAAGAGCCATCAATTAAAGAGGCAGCCACTTTGCCTTTGCCTTCCGAGTTCTTCTTAACCCTCATGTGCTGCCACTATCCATTAATTGCTCAGATCCCCCATGTGCTCCCGAGCAATGCCAGCACAGTCTGGCAGCACTCCCATACTTGCTCATTGCTAAACCACAGGATTCTTGGTGTTAGCAGTATCCCTTCAGGAAATAATTTCCTTACTCTAATTATCAATCTTTTTAATTAGAGGTTCAAAAAATTATGTCACCTATTCAACTATCAGCCTATTTACCTGCCAACAGAAGATCCTTCCAGCAAATATATTCTGTAGTGCTTTCTCTAGCATCATTTTGAGCAGGACAAAGGCAGAAGATAGCTCATCACAGTCTTTGGCTCACAAGATTCTCTTCCTTATAGAGAGAGTACCCAATCATAGGAAAAAAGAAAAACAAACCCTCACTTCTTGCTGTGTTTCCAAACAAACATCAGCCTTGAGTTGTGATCTCAGTATCCATCACCACTTGCCACCTCTAAATGGCAAGTGCTCACAACAGAGGCTGGTAAGAGGACAGAAAGCCAAGAGGAAACTACCAAATGAAAACTCACACAGAAGTTGCTGAACAGCTTTTACACTTATGTGCCTATCTGTTCATCTTCTCGTAACCAAATTATAGTGACTGTGTTCAGAGAGAAAACAGCCTTATCTCATAATAACACTGTATACAAAAAGATTGTATTAGCTAGCAAGAAACTCCTTAGCATGTGGCTACCAGAGCTGCCTCATCTGGCTCCAGGACTGTTAACAAGCACGGATACAAGCGACATTGCTGACTTTTCAACCCATTACTGCCTTTGGCTTGCTCCACAGGATGGGTGAGACCAAAAAAAACAAACCTGGGAGAAAAACACCGCAAATCTACTCACCACGTCTTCTGAGCAAGTGCTGCATGCGCTCTCCCACCTGGTCCAGCCCCATCGGGGTGCTCTGGGAGAGGGGTTCAGAGCGGCATCTCTCCACAAGGACTTTGAAGGGGGGTGCTTGTGGGGATGGTTGAGAAGGATGAGACATCGGCTGGCAAGGAAAGGGTCACAGAAGAAATCAATATGTGTCAAACCTCAGACAAAGCAGTCAAAGAACATACCTCAAATTTTCAAGTCAGTGCAACACACATTAGACTTCCTCACTGCGACGTGCACCCACTTCATTTTTTTTGACTGCAAGATAAAAGACTTGCTGGCTCTGGTGTTGGAGTGCCCCAACTCATACCTTGAACACAGCTCACAGTGTTTAAGTCCAACAGCTTTCAGGAGCACTTAGCCTCTGAGGCACTTCTGAGAGTCACGTGCTAAAGATGTCTGCTTTCCGTACAGCGTTTTGTCTACTCACATTACCGAGTCCCAACAGGAGCACATACAGAGAGTGAATTAGCTGGTGCCAAGGACCCAACATGAGCTAAACCATTTCAGTTGGCTTCTCAGTGTGCCGTAAGGGCTGGCTGCTTTCTAAGGGACAGCAAGTCAGCAGCCCAGGAGATAACCTGGTTAGCAGAACGGGGCCTCACCCACCAGCCCCATGCCACAGTGCCCAAGCAAGGGATCAGGCCAGGTCTGGAGATGGTGGTCAGGGTCAGCTAGACTTCAGATCATTAGGCACATTGATGGTGATGAAGCAGGTCCAAGGTAAAGCAGCTGAGTCAGTTTACAGATCAGAGTCAGGCCCAGTGAGGGTAATTAGGGTCAGACAGAGCCCCATAATCCTTGGGCAGGTCCATGGTGGTGAGACAGCTCCAAGGTCAAGCCAGGAACTCAGGCCTCAGGTTGGTGTCTAGCCCAGCAGGGCCCAGGGCCAAGCAAAGGCACAGCTGCAACTGAGGTGGGGACCAGCATTCCTCCCGTGTTGCTTAAAGAAAGAGTGAGCAGCCAAGGCAGAGCGTAAATGGGCTGCCAGGCCCAAGGGTATGGTGTGGAGGCCCCAGGTGATACTGCTTAGGGTCATTAAGAGCAATTAGTGCATTCAAAGCACAGTGAGGGTGGACAACTGGGAGGTCTTCAATAGGCGCTCCTGAGCTTAACTAGGACATACAGCCTTTGGTGGGCTACACAAAGGAGAAGACTGCTAATTTCTGGATTCTTTTGCCAGGTTGCAGCTATCAGTTATCACTGGTCTCTGTGTACGGCCACAGTCAAAAGACATGTGAGTAGGAACTGGAAAATGGAACAAGAAGATTTTTCAGAAAGATCTCCAGTGCTTGAAAGATACAGCCATGGAGTAGAGCAACAAGGTTTCAATGGTGAGGTTTAGGAGAACAGTCTGTTTATGCATGTGCTCATCCAACAGGCTAGTAATAAGATCTGCCCATACTATTATAAAAATAGATGATAGAGGTTCTTAGAATAAAGATGGGATACCCATCAAGAACAATTCCTGCAAAACTCAACAGTCTTTCTGATAATAAGATCCATGTAAAAGTGAATTAAATTAGTAACAGGATGTCATTTTCTTCATTCCCAAAAATCTTAACAAAACACTCCCTTCCAGGTATTTCCAGAGGTCATATAAGGTCTTTTCCAGTGCCATAAACAGAAGTCTACAGATGGTCTATGAAAAGGACAGGAGGTGAAAAAACGTAACAGCATTGTTATTATTGCTCTGCTGCTGAAGTCATTGGGAGGGTACAGAGAGCGTTCTGGGGAGAGAAAGTACTCTTCATGTGTTGATGGACTTGAATCACTTTGGTGGAATACATAACTGCAAAAGAACATATCAGACCCACAGGCTCTCCTCCTTCAAAAGCTGAGTCTTATAGCACTTAACTGCTAATAAAAGCCTAATACAAACATACCAACCCTCCCTCAACCCAGTATCTGTAAAATCAAGTCTCTTTATAAGCACAGCTGCTTTTTCTGCAAGATACTTCCTAACCACCCTACATCTTCTCCTGGTGGGTTCTGGTGTGACTGGGGAGATGTATTTAGGTGCTTGCAGGTGGCCTGGCCTTGGTCCGTACCAAATTCACCACAGACCATCAGCTTCACCATGCTTCAGCCCTTTGTGTTACCCTTATGAATTTTTGTAGGTCTCTTCCCAAAATAATAAACAGCTTATTGTAGGATATGAAACACAGCTAATATTCCCTGCAAATCAAACCATGTCCAAAGTCCTGCTGCAGCTGCTAACAGGTTAGCTTGTAATCACACTGCGCAGCACTTCTAATGCTTGCTCTTTATAGCATCACCATTTGGACCAGAAGAGATTCCCAAAGCACCCAGTACACACACACCCAGTCAGGCACACAATGCACTGAACGGGGTTGTCTGCACCTTCCTCTGGACATCTGTTACAGGGGGCCCTGACAACACACCTCTCTAATACATGGAGCACCTACCACCACGGTTCAGGGGTTTGTTCAGTTATTATTGTATGCCTCATCTCCAGGGAGAACACAAGTTACAGCCCTTACCAGGTTTCAGATGGTCCAACTGTAAGAACAGGGCAAACCACGGCACTTAAAAGAAAGCTGGGACTTTGTTCTCTGAAAATGTCCAGGTTTGTTTTAGCAAAACTAGAACAATTATTTTTCCTGAATGGTTCACAGAGGAAAGCAGAAATTATCAGAACAGTTTCTCTGGAAGATGACTGATAACAACTGCTAACAAGACACATCCTCTATATCAATAGCCTACAAAATATTATTTGAAACAATAAGACATCGCAATTGATTGAAGCACCTGTAGTGGTCAAATACCCCAGTTATATCTTAACATTTGGTAACATTAATACAAAGAATGAATTAGGATTTATAGCTAACTACAGAAAAACACTGGAGTGTCCCTCACTTCTGGATGACTCCAACTTTAATTATTCAGGAGGAAAAGATCCTGAAAGAGACAACTTGTACAGTGGTATGTTACAGAATGGAATTTTCTTTTTTTAAAAAAATCACAATTCAAACTCCTAATTTTTATTTTATTTTCTGTGACGTGTGACATCAAGGAAGTATTGTGTATAATCTTCATAAAATGAGCAGAAAGATCAGTTTACAACTGCCAGGAGAGGAAAACAGAGGATGCTCCTCACCAGGAGACTTCTAGTCTCAATGAGAGACAGATTTGTCACACTTCCACAGCCCTGCTAATAACTGAGTGCCTCATATGGTTTAGCATATCTGTCCTCAAGACTCCAGCAGCCCATTTTCACTGATGTGCTATTACCTTTATTTATAGGTGAAGAACAAAGTGGACAGGCTATACTTACCCCAAAGCCACAGTGGGATCTGTGGATTAATTAAGGCTTGATCCCCCATTCCCTGCTCCCAGCACCAGCACTGTGTCCAGTGACACAGTATGCTTCTCTTGACTGAGTTAACAGCTGGGAGGAGGTAAAAGCCAAAGAAAACCTTCCACCCAGACAATCTTTAGACACATAGTTCCTTCACCATTTAGACCAGCAATGACCAGAGGTCCCCATTCATATCACTACTCTCATGGCACCAAGGATGGAAGGAGGTGGCCTGTTGTAACTTTGAGGCAAGATGGAACTAGATGAAGGCAAGAGGAACTAGATGAAGGCAAGACCCAACAAGTATTTTAAGAAAACATGTGGAAATCTGAATTACCCATGTGTTCAGTGCCTGGTTATATATACATGTAAAGCTTATCAGCTTTGCAAACTCAACCTGCCTTTCCCTGACAATGCTAAAAATATGTTTCCAAAAAAAACCCTACCCCACTATAGATAGCACTAAATATAGGCTTTAATTCAAGATTTTGCTAGTACCTCATGGTTATTAAAAATACAAAAATCTGAACAGCTTGGAAATAGGCTCTAGAGGTTTTGTCTCCTCTAAAAATAAGATGATTGTCAGATATAGCCATATTAAAAGCCATAAATACACAGAATCTTCATTCTGCAACTAAATCATACCTCACTATAGACAGGAGTATAGTGCTCTTTTGGCAATGGCAGAATTTAGAAAGTAAAGTACTATTTCTTAATTTGGAAGAACTATGAAGTCTTTTGAAAGCACAACTACCAGCAGTAGGCTGACAAACAACCCAGTTTACTGCCAATAACCAGGAGATGAAGAGAGCTCTGAAGAACAACTCTAAGAAATACCCATTTCCTCGTTAGTGTCATCCAGCAGAATGGGGAATGAAAAGACAAATCAACTCAGCAGTCCCATTTCTGCAGCTGCTCCCAAAATCTTCTGTAGCAGAGAGACAATAAAACAATCTCAAGCTAAAGGTCACTATGAGAACTTGTTGCACATCACTTGCAATTTCTCATCAAATATAGTAAAAGAAAGTTGCTCTATCTTCCTCTTGTGAAAAGACACTTGCAGCTGCTGCACTAAAGTAAAACTTCAAACCTGTGGGAGGATCTGAGATATGCCCCAGCTATCAGAGAGCAAATCTGCAAACGCATCCTCTGGCAAGAGCACACTCAGGCAAATCAGTAATCCTGTGCTTCCAGTTAGACCCACCACACAGGGAGAGTCTCTGATTTTCCCACACAGAGCAACGCAGCGTGCATTGCGCAGAAATCACAAAACCTAGTAACGCCATGAAAGCACCAGTCCTGTGCCATCAGCACAGGCCACTCACAGAGTTACCACGCTCTGCAAGAGGGAGCACCTTCATGGCACCAGGACAGGTTGGCTCCTCAGCACGGCACTCAGAGGAACAAGCTTGACGGCTGCTCAAGAGAAGCATCTGCTGGACACCAAGAAGTGAGTTTGATCAGAGAGTCTCTTACAGGGCTCTGAAACCAAACTGGCTGGGAAACCTGGTGCATCCCAGGTCGGCCTGGCACTCCACCCTATGGGACAGACACCTTTTGCCCAGGTTGACAAGTTTGTAGAAAGCTCATTTACACACTTCTGGCAATCATAATTACCCCCGTAAAATGGCATCACAAAACCAACTGATGCCTGTGTGGCAA